GCGGGGAGGGACAGTCAGCGGCCCGCCCCCGGCCCTGCCCAGCCCAGCCCCCGGGCCGCCCAGCCGGCTCACCCTGGATGTTCTGCGGGTTGTCGATGACGAAGTGGCCGTTCCACACCACGGACAGGTTCACGGGCAGGTCGCTGACGTCATTGCCCTCATAGGAGTACTGTGGCAGCGGGAAGGGCGGTCAGGCCACACGGCGGCCCAGCCCGGGGCAGCACCTCAGGGCCTGGTGTCCTCCTGGGCCACTTCCGGGCCTGGCCGCTGGGGGGGTCTGGGGGCTCTGCCTCGCGAGACTGGCATTTACAATCTGGAGCGAATGCCCAGAGCCACCCGCCTGCAGGCCAGCTTAAGGGACCAAGCATCTGCTGCCACGACCAGAGCCTGCTATCCACGCGCGCGCGCACACGCTTCCTTCCTGGTGGCCACGGCCCTGCCCTCCAGGGTGAAGCCCGCCCACCCACCCGCCCACTGCAGGCGGCCCCACCAGGAGACCAGGACTCCCACTGCACCCCTTGGACACACGTCAGGGACGCTCTGTGAACCTCCCTTTCCTCAAATCCAAACAGGCTCAATAATCCCACCTCCAGGTCTGCCCTGAGGTGGGAGACATGCGCCCCCCATGCCCTGACTGCCCCTCACCCCCAGGCTGGGCTGGGTTCAGGGACACGGCCCTCCCCGGGGGGCCCAGGCCTGGGTGCCCAGCTGTGTCCCACTTTCTGCAGCTGAAGACCTGCGGTCCATCCCAGAGTAATTCATCACCGTCTTATCTACAGGAATTTAATTGGATCCTATCAAATTCCCTGATACTCCCTTTTCCCTTTACAAGGAGCTGCAGGAAAGATAAATGTGGGTCTGGGGGGGTGTGTGGGGGGACTGCGGGGACAGAGGTGACAGGCTCAGGGAGGGGGAGAAATGCAGAGAGACGGATAGACGGCCTTAGGGATGCAAAAAAGGAAGAAGAGGTGGAGACAGCCAGGCTAGGGGAGCCAGAGGGAGATGTGGGTGGAGGGTGTGGCCAGCAGGAGGCAGTGAGTGAGGAGGAGGGAAAACAGGGCTGGACAGGCAGGAAGGCTTGGGGAACTCTAGGGCCCCGCCAAGCGGCAGACCTGCCCCGAGAGCCTGTGGTGACCCTTGGTCTCCAGCCCACCCTGCCAGAGCAGGTCAGCCAAGGGGCCACCACCAACAGAATCTAGCCAGACCTCTGACCTCAAACCCCTCCCCAGGGCTCCAAGGGACCGTACGGACGGCCCAGAGTCACCCACCCACCATGCGGGGCCTTGGCCAGCTCCAGGAAATCCACTGCTCTCCTGAACAGATGGGGAGGCCAAGGCCTGCGGGTGAGCAGGACTCAGCTGGCCTCAAGACCAACAACTCGGTCCTCTCCCTTCACCCACCAGGGAAGGTTCTGGCTCTGCAAAGACCACTGTCACTAAATTTACAAGACTTGATAAAGGCCTGAATAAAGTCACCCTGTTGGATTTGAGGCTCTCTAAATGTAGCTTTTTCTGGGCACATGTGCTGGCACGTGAGCACACTGGCTGCCACTGCCCGGCTGCTGTGCCTGGACACAGGACAGCTGGTGTTGTGGCCCTGACCTTGCCCCACCTGCCCTGGGGGCGTGGGGCAAGGATGGCATGGGGCCCTTCCGCACACTCTCCACCTGGCCCACATCCCACAGACCCCCAACAAAGCTGCCTCTGAGACGTGCTCTGTCCAATGTCTGGGCAGCTCTGGGTGCCACCTGCGGCCTGCTCACCCGGGTACAGCTGAGGGCTGCAGCCTGGCCTAGGGGACCCAAAGTGCCCTCTGAACCGGGCAAGGCAGACATGGCTACATGCTGCTGGTCAGCTAAAGCAGAAGCCAGATCTGAGGCTGCGAGGCGCTGGCCCACAGCACACGGGGTCCCTGGCCCCAGCTGCCCCACTGGCCTCACCGAGGAGTTCTGGCACTGCAGGCTGGAGCTGTTGAAGCGCAGGGCGGTGACGCGGGCCGGACTCCCTGGGAGGTGGAAGAGGCACTCGTACCCACGCTGGCCTGACTGTGGCTGCGGCAGGTTCCGGGCGGCCAGGGTGATGGGCTTCACCACGCCCACTGGCACGTAGATCTGGGTGGAGGGCAGGATCTGGGGGCAGTCCTGGGGGTGGCAAGGCTTCTCCTGAGCCTGGGCTGGAGGCTGGCGAGCAGGGCAGACCCCACTCTGGCCCCAGTCACAGTCTGCATGCAGCCTGAGCTTCCCCGGGGCAAGCACCGCCACACCCATTTTACAAATGGGCAGACTGAGAACCTCAGTGACGGCCAGCCAGGCCTGGTCCTGTGCTGCACACTGTGACCTGGGCGGGACCCCCCCCGAGGGGCCCCCTCTGGCTGCAGCCGAGAGGGCCTTGGGGGCAGAAGCTCGTGCACACTCTCAGCGGGCGGCGGGGAGCAGGTGAAAATGGCCAGAGTGAGCGGAAAACACCCTGGCCACCAGGGCCAGCTCCTCCGCAACAGCAGCTGATGCAACGGCCTGGCTTCCTTGCAGCAGGGCTGCAGCAGCCCAGAGAAGACGGCCTGCCGAGATCGATGGCCCGCGGAGGACGGCCCCTGGGAACGCTCCGAGCGCTTTAAATAGAGATGCTGAAAACAGGCTATAATCCTGGATCCTCAGAGCTGCTCCCGAGGCAGTGGGCCTGCTCTGCAGGGGTTTTCAGGGCCCCTGAGGGCACTGGGGCAGCAGAGCTGGCAGGGCAGGCCAGGCAGGCTGATCACTGACCGCTGGGTCTGCAGGTGCCCCGTCTCCACCAGCGAGAGGCAGGCGATGGCCACGTGGACACGGGCATCGGCCGGCACTCGGGCTGCGTTCGGAGCTGTGCTCAGGCTGCAGCCCCGGCGGGAGTCATCAGTGTGCATGGTGGCCACACTGACACCAGCACGGCCCCAACCTCTGGAAAGGCGCCCAGGCCAGCCCCAAGTCCAGGGACCCTCCTGCTGCCCCCAGCCCTTGGCTGACCCCCAGTTCCTCGGCAGCCCCGGCTCATCCTGGCCACCAGGGCCCTGCTGCCACTGCCCCCTGACCTCACACCTTCCCTCCACACTGACACCACCTCTCTGCCCAGAGGTGAGCGCCATCACCTGTCCCCTGTGGGTCTCGGGGCACAGGTTCCGTGCCCCCATCATGCCACAGCACCTTGTGACCCCGGCTGGAGAGAGGGGTCAGCTCAGGCCTGGCTTTGACCCCCCCCCTTGAGTGGCCTGAGACCCAGCTGAGCTGCAGCCGGGAAAAGATGAGCAGTATGGACACAGAGGCCCCTCCCTGGGGGCCCGGCCCCCTGCACTCACCCATGCAGGTCCACAACTCTGTTTTGATAATTTCACTTACACTTTTGTTCTCTCAACCTGACTCTGTTCTCACACAGACCAAAGAAGAGTCTGGACGAAAACCCTCCACTCCCAGGGGCCCCTCCCCCTGTTCTTGGGGAGGCCGGACTGAGGCAGAAAGTTCCAGCTCCCAGGGCGGGCTGTGCTCAGGGGCACTCCAGGCCGGACCGCTGCCAGGCCGCCCACCTGGCACCAGCTGCCTCCCAATACCGCACGCCCAACATACTCTGGTCTTCCCAGCCCGAGACAACCGAGCAGACACGGGAGCACCAGAACTTCATCCCTTCTTGGGTGGGACGCCAGGTGACACTGGGACTGGGACTGAGACCCTGCGGTGTGAGCATGGCCCCAGGGGAACCAAACCAGAACCAGAGACAGGCAGGGGCAGGGAGGGCTCCCTGGAGACATCATACTCCTTAGGGACGTCCCCATGCAAACGGGGGCTGCAGTAGAGGAGGGCGCATCTGTGAAGTCAGTCTGATCCCTCGACCCCGGCCGCCCCTAGCCCAGCCCTGCCCTGGCAAACTTCTGCAGTGGCGCTCCACCTGCTCCTCCACGTCCCGGGCTGTGACGGCCCCAGACGGCCTCCCTGAGGTCCCCACCGGGCTACTAACCCCAGGGTGCTTTCCTCTGTTGGAGCAGCTCAGGTGGGGAAGGGGCAGAGATGGCTGGTGACAGGCCCCCACCCGTCAGGAACGCTCTGCTGGCACCTGGGCTCTTGGCATCCACCAGAGCCACTGCCTCACCTGGGGCAGTCCTGCAGTAACGGCACACCCACCTCCTTACTAGCCCACCAGCTGTCGGGTCAGCTGCCCACGCCGGTATTCCCGGCTCCCACACCACCCATGGTCACAGACACTGCGACCCCCAATGCCTGCGGTCCCATCTGTTCTCGGCCCACGCCCCACTGCCATCACGTCACCAGGGAGGGAGAAAACCAAGGCCCAGGGGGAGACGGTGGGGGTGGCCACAGCACAGGGGGCCCATGCTGGCTGTGCCCCTTGGCCCTGGGGGAGTCCAGCCTAGCTGCTGCCTTCAAGGCTATGTGGCCAGTGGGACTCACACCTGCCCACCCCAAGCAGCCAATGGGCGTGGTGTCCACTGCAAAGTCGAGGTCCAAGGCCCCACACTGAGAGTGGGACATGGGGACAGGGCCCCCCTCGGCCTGGTTCTCACCACCACTGCTCATGACAGTCACTGCCTTCCCGGCTCCAGTTACCACCTAATTACCACCAATTACCACACAGCCCTGCAAGCGATTCCAGGAATGGCCTGCACATCAACCTGGTGTATTTGCGCGTCCATGTGGACCCAGCCAGACACTTACTGCACTGGGTGGACAGACCCCACCCATCATCCCCTGCCATCTCTTTGGTCTGCAGCTCCAAGCAGTGACCACCAACAAATGCCACTGTCTGGCAAACACAACCCTGAGGACTTCTCTGTAGACCGTCCGGCCAGCATCCCCACCACCCTCAGGCCACACCCAGCTATGCTGTGCCTGACCCCCTGGACCCCTGCCCTCAGGACACGGTACCTCCGACACGTTGACCCGGCCCTCCAAGAAGGCACAGTCGGCAGCATTGTGCGTGCACACGTGGCGGTACTTGCACCAGTGGCAGGGGAAGGAGCCGTTGACGCAGGACAGGCAGCTGTAGGGAGAGGGCAGGGTGGTGGGGCTTCAGCCTGTGCCTCCCCAGGGCCACATGCCTGCTACTGTTCACGGAGCTGCCCCAGGGCCTTTGCACAGATCGCTCCTCGCTGCTCAGGCCTCCTGACAGCCAATCTACCTGCCACCCACTGTTGCTCCCCGCCTGACAGTCCACCCCAGCACCGACCGACAGAACCTTCCAAGGATGCACGTGTCTAAAGACAAGACTGTCCAGTGCAGTGACCACCAGCCACACCAGGTCATGTGTGACCATCAGCATTGGAACTTTGTTAGCGCAGCTGAGAAGTGTGTTTTAAATCCCACCTGGTCCTGATAAACTAAGATGTAAAGGTAGGTGGCCAGCAGTGGCTGGGGCTGGACAGCTGTGGTAGACAGCACCTCCCCAACCAGAACACAGGCTCGCCCGGCAGGAGCCTGTCTGATTCGTTCCTGCACACCCCCGTCTCATCATCCCTGTGGCTCCGTGTCACCCGCCGCTACCCCGCCTCTACAGAGACCAGCAGTCCCCCAAGCCTCAGAGCACGCTCCCTGCCCCGGGGTCCCAGCCCCTACCCGGGGAGGCCGGGCCCTGGGGTCATAACACCCAGGCCCACACTGGGCACCCCACAGAGAGCCAGGCGGGCATCGGTCTGCAAATCGGTCACCAAATGAAGACATGACTTCCTGTCTTCAAGAAACCAGACTCCTTGGTTCTGAGGTTGACCCTCCAGGCTGGGCACCTCCAGGTCAGGGGACTCCCTCTGCACCCAGTGCCCCGGGCCCTATGGGATGCACAGTGGGTCCTCTGCTTCTGCTCTTCCTCTGAGGCTGGCGTGCTTGCAGGAGACGGGAGACCCAGGGAGCGCTCCCCCGCCCAGCTCTCTGTGCTCCAGGGGCCACCCAACCAGAGGACCTGGCCCTCCTGCCCCAGAGCGGCAGGGGCCGAGTGCCCGACCCCTGGCTGGCCATCTCCGGCCTGGACAGCGCAGCAGCCTGCCCACAAGCTGCCTGCCCCTGCTCACAAGGTGGCTGGAGAGACTCTTCTCATGTGAATCAGCATACATCACACCCCTGCTGCCCCACTGACCACTGGGCCCCAGGCCCCTCCCATCTCCCTGGGGAGGCCCTGCCCTTGCTGGCTCCTCCACTCTGAACGCCAGGCTGTGCTGCCCCAGGGGACGTGTGCAGGTGGCCAGGGACACTCACGACTGGTGGACACTGCAGTTGTAGAAGACGAAGTCCACGGATGCAAACTTCTTGCCGGTCTCCTTGGACTTCAGGTAGAGCTTGACTACCCGCTGGTCTCCTGCACCAGCAGCACAGAGCCCATCACCATGTGATGCCCGTTCACTGTCCCAACGACCGTCTACCACTCCCTGCCCGACAGGAGGGCCCCCAGGCACTCCGCCCACAGCCTCACCCTGGCCCCGCGTGATCGGTGCCACCTCCCGCGCGGAGGGTGAGCGGCAGTGGATCCGGCCGTCCTCCAGGACGCTCTCAGACTCGGTGAAGTCCTCAAAGGAGCAGTTGACTCCGGCCGAGAGGTCGGGCACGTTCCAGGCCTGCAGCACCAGCTGGGCCGGGCGGGAGGTGGGAGGTGCGGTGAGCGGGGTCCGGCCCCCCTCCTCCCTGCCCTGTCCTCGGGCTTGCACTCACCGGAACACGAGACATGGTGACCGACACGTTGCGTGGCTGCACGGTCAGCTGCACGCACTGCAGCAGGTCCGAGGCGAAGCGCTGGGGCTCGTCCGCCCGCTCGCAGGCATCCTGACGTGAGCAGCTGTGGGTGGGGGCACAGGGGCTGGGCTCTGGCGGGAGGCCAGGGGAGCCCCGGCCCACCACCCCATGGCACTTGGGAGGCTCTACCCACACCCCGTCCTGACTGGGGCCAGCTGGGCCCACGGTCACTCAGGTCCCAGGAAACCCAGCAGGGCTGCCTGGCCTGGGGCCCTCCCACCCTCGCCGCCCCTAGCAGACTCACATGCTGTGCAGGACACACCAGCCGCAGTGGGGGTCCCGTGACCCCAGGCACAGCTCACATGACGGGTACTGCACGCAGCTCTCCACGGGCACCCGCGTTACCTGGCAGGAGGGCCTCGGCATCAAGTCCCAGCCCTGCCCACCCCTGCCCCCCACACAGTGGAGACCCCTGCCGGGCCCTCCTCCTGCCTGGGGGTTCAGGGCCAGTCCTGAGTGACCCTGAGCCGGCCGGTCGGGGCAAGATGACCAGGCCCCTCAGCAGCACATCAGCACAGAGCACTGCACAGAGAGAACCCACAGCTCCGTCCAGAGTCCCTCTCGCTGTCTGCACCTGAGCTTCCCAAGAAGGCCACATGCTCTCTGACCCCAACCCTAAGTCCAGAGGCAGACAGAGCCCTGCTTACCCCAATCTCACCGGCTTGGCTCTGACGCACTAAGAGGTGGAAAAACCCGACAGCAGGAAAGGGACAAAGAAGAAGGTCCTGGCCCCCTGCTCTGCCCATCTCCAGCCAGCCAGGGGGACACCAGGGTGGCTACGGCTGGCTCCACAGCCTGGACTAGGATGTGGTGCACGGCCTTGACCAGCTTGACCACAGCCTGAGGCCTCAGGGCCCCAGATGCACCCTAAACCCTCCGACGACACCACTGCCCTGAAGACGACCTCCTGCCAGCATCCAGTCCTGTGGACACGCAGCCATTCAGGGAGGTGGGAATTCCAGGCCCAGCCTGGGGAAGCTCAGAGGCAGCCTGGACAAAGGGCCAAGGGTGGCCACGCCCAGCTCCCCGGGGGCCAGCCCCACCCACCGCCTCCCGCAGTACCACACCCACCTGCTTTTCAGTCATGGCATACAGGTACTGGTGGTCGGGGCTGAGGACCAGGTCACGCAGGATGGGGCTGCCCTCTTGGGCCACCACACTCTCGTAGGCCAGGGCCGGCCGGCCGCCGGGGTTTGCCAGGTCCACCAGGATCTGTGGCAGCAAGACCCAAGCGGGCCTGCCTCAGTGCCTCCTGCCCCAGCCCGTTCCAAGCTAAGGGCTGGGGCCTGGTGCCCACCCCCAGCCACCCCCCAGCCCTTGAAGAACAATGCCGAGGCACCCACTGCCCCCAGGGAGCCGGTGCAGGATCAGCTGCAGCCCAGTAGCCTGGTCCTGGCCCAACCCATCCACCAGGCGACCAAGGCCACAGCCCAGGGGTGGGGGTCTCCCGGGGCTGGGGCAAACCGCGGCCCAGCAACATGGCAAGCTGCACAGCCACACCCAGGGCAAAGGCGGCGGGAGCCCTGGGCAGGGGCCCCAGCTTCCCTGGGGCCAGGCTAGGCATCCCAGAGGAAGGGCTATTTGTGCAGAGAGAATAGGGGGCATGAAGAGGCTGCAGGGACGCAGCAGGCATGAGAGGCCCAGTGCGGCTAAGAAGGGAGGCCGGGAGCCTCCAGGCAGGAGCTGCAGTGAGGGGCTGGTCCTGCAGGTGGGGCCCGACAGGCTGGAAGTCAGGGGCGGGGTCTCATCTACATGGAAATGTACCCTAAACCCCAAACAAGCCGGGCGCTAATTAGCCAGCTCTCCTTCCCCACAGCTCACAAGGCTGCAAGTATTTTTAGTTGCTTTTACCAAACAAATGTATTTAATTAACAGAGAGACCCAGGGGGCTTTCCAGAGATGGGACTCGTGGGGCGGCATCCACCCAGCTTGGCGGCCGGGCAGGCTCCCAGGGCATGGGCGGGCCTTCCCTTCTCTGGCTGTAACGGAGCGCCCAGCCTACCTCCACCTCCACCGGGGTGGGGGGCTCAGCCCACACCCCTCCTCTGCACCCTACGCTGACAGGACAGGGCAGGTCTGACTGGCCAGGGACTGCGGGGCCAGGCGAACACAGGCTGGGCCAGCTCCGAGAGGGGCTGGGAGAGGGCAGCCAGCCAGGGTGGGGCGCTGGCTGGGCCAGAGGCTGCGGGAGAGAGGGAAGGGGGAGGGCCGCATTCCTGAGGGCCTCGGGCCACCCCCAACATCCGCTCAGCTGCCTCCCCGCCAGGCAGGCAGGCTTAAGTCAAACCAGACCCGGAAGAGCTGAGTCCGGCACTGGGCAGGGGAGGCAGCCACGGGGCCGGGCCTACAGGGCCTCAGGAAGGAGGCAGGGTGCCACGGCAGCCCAGCCTCCACACCTGTGGGTCGGGCCTGGACAGGACCCCACCTGCACCCCGCCAACCCCACAACCTCCCGCCTTGCTCTCACGGGGAGCCCACAGTCAGCTCCACGGACTGGCCAGGCCCAGGCTGGACGTCGGCCACAGGGCAGGGCCGGGGAGGCCAGCAGTCCGGCCTCTGCGCCCACACTGCCTGGGCCCCAGCCCCGCCCTGCCCCAGACACAGCCCCGTAGAGCAGCCTTCACCTCGGCACAGCGCCACTCCCACGCCAGAGCCGCTCTGGGGCGTGAAGGAGGGCTCCCGGGGACCGAGCCCCATGGCAGTCACCAACCCCCAAGAGCCAGCCACACAGGCCCAACGAGACCAGGCTGGACTGCAGCCAGGGAGTAGGGGACAGCAAGGCCAGAGGGCAGGGGATGGCCTGGGCACAGGCAGGGGCACCAGTGGGGACCCCGAGCTCCAGATCCAGCCTCAGCTCAAATGACCCAAGTCAGGGCCCTTCACGTTCTTCCCCCTGCAGGCGCCTCCCTGATGGGTGAGGCCTGCCCCGGGGCCTTGCCACTGGGCTGACCATACTCCTGGCCCCACGCGCAGGGGGCACTCGAGGGGCGTGTGCTGAGTTGGGATGCTCCAGGGCCCCAGCCTCCCCAACCCTGACCGCCAGAGCCACGTTGCGCTGCTCCTGACCCCCTCCCCATCTGGGCTAAGGGCACAGGCTGCAGCATGGACGTCACATCCCCTGCCCCACTCAGCAGGGGATGAGGGAAACATTGCAGGGACTGGGGCGGGGGTGCGGGTATTGAGAGGGTGGGGACAGGAGCTCAGAGAGCCAGCCCAGGGTCCTGGGGAAGGTGGGAGGGGCAGGTGGGCCAGCCAGGCTGCCGAACGCCCCAGCTCACGGGCCGGCTGGGGGACCACAGACACAACAGGTGGCTCCCAACAGCTGTGGCGGGGAGCACGCTTGTCCAGCTGTCCATCCGCCATGCACCCATCTGTCCACCCACCTGCCAGACACTGGGCAGCCCCCGCCCTTAAACACACAGAGCTTCCCCATTTCTGGAAAGCAGAGAGCAAGGGGGCATCAGGGAGGCACAGCCCACAGGCCAGCAAGTGGACACGCCCCTCACCATGCTCTGAGCAACTGCGTCAAGGCTTAGCCAGACCCCGAGCGGCTGGGAACAACCAGTCCTTGGGACACAGGACCTGTGTCGCACAGACAGGTAAACAGAGGCCCGCAAAGACCTGCCAGAGGGACCCAGGGCACTGAACAAACCAGCTGCACCCAGGGGTGCAGGGTCTGCTCCAAAAGTGGGGGGAGGGGTGCAGCAGGCCGCCAGGAGGTGGCACGGGCCAGGCAGCTGGCAGGACAGTGGGACACATGCCCGCAGCTCGCGTGCCGACGCCACAGGCCCGCTCACAGCTGTCACTCAGGGCCACCAACCTGGGGCGGCCCACCCCAGGGCAACTGGGCCGCAGGACACACAGGAGATTCCCACAACCCCAGCATCCTCCCCCGACCTCCAGCTGTCAGGGCTGTGCTCTGCAGACCCTCCCCCAAGACCACCAGAACTTTCCACACCCATCTCCTCAAACCCAGCCGGGTCCATCCGCCATGAAGAGCCCATCGTGCCACCCAGACGGCTTGAGTGGAGCCATCCAGCCTCCTGGGCACGCCTGGCAGGCTGCATCACGCCCTCCCGGCTCTGACCTAGGCCCTCTGCCCCTGCCTGTGTCTCCGCCCAGGGTCATCCCTGCCCCTCCGTACCTGGAGGAGGCTCCAGGATTCTGAGCTGAGGCACAAGGGCTGTCAGTGCCCCAGGGAAGGGCTGGGCCCCAGGAGCCTCTCCCAGCCAGAACCAGGCAAAGCGCTGACCGTGGGCCAGGCGCCTACCACCACCTCGGGCCTGCCCCTCCCCACAGAAGGCCAGGGAATAGGGTCACCCTTGCACCCTCAGGCCAGCAGGCCCCTGAGGTTGGGGATACAGCAGACAGGGGTCCTGCAGAGGGACCCCTGCCCAAGGCCAAGGGGAGGCAGCCCCTGGCCCTGGAGGCCCAAGCCCTAGGCTGGTCCAGCCGCTGCCCCCGCACCCCTCGCACCGTGAGGCCCTGGCCAACTGCTGTGGGCAGGCTGCTCTCGGCCCGGCCAGGTCAGCTGTCCGTCCAGCCCAGACCCAACAAAGGGTTCATTCTCTGGGCTGAGGGCGGGTTGGGGCACCGGGGAGGATGTCTGGGCCGTCCAGGCTGCTGGCCAAGGCCGGCACGCGCCCGAGCCGCCCGGAGGCAGGGGGCTGCGCAGCTAGGCCTCCGCCTGGGAGTGAGAATTCCCTGCTCTGCCCACCCCGAGATGGCGGCCCCCGTGTGCCTGTCTGCAAAGCGGGGGTGCACAGGCTGAGCTGACTCCTGGCCTCCAGACGGGTGGGGGTGGGGAGCAGGACAGGCCCTGGGTGGGGGCAGGCACAGGAGGGGGCAGTGGCCAGCTCGCTGGGACTTCAGTGCTGGGACTTCAGGGGAGCCCCCTCCTCCTGGAGATGCAGCTGCCAAACCTGCTCCCAGCCCCCCAGGAGGCAGGGTGGTCCTGGGAGGGGCTGCACAGGACAGGAGCCTCTGGCACCCTCTTCTCGCAGGAACTCCTCCCTGGTCAGGGCTCCTGGCTGATGCCCTGAAGGACCAGCTCCCAGACCTCTCCTCTCCCCGTCCAGGGCCACCACAGGCTCCCCCCTTCTCTGGCAGGGGGCAGGTTCTAGGCCCCTTCCTGGGTCCGCTCTCAGAAAGGCCAGGAGAAATTTGATACTGGAAAAGCAATTAGCAATTTCCTCTTGGCAGTAATTAGGTAATTAAAACATGATTTGCAGGAGGCCTGATGGTTCTAATTGAGCCAGACACACCTGTCAGGTAGGGGGTCCCAGGAATCTCATCTTTCCTACCAGCAATCCTCAATACACAGACAGGAAAGCAGGGACCAGCCAACGCAAGCAGTGGTCCTCCCTGACCCTCAGTTTCCTTGTCTGCTGACAGAAACCAACTCACAGGGCCGGGAGAATTAAGAGGCTCAGAGTTTCTGAAGGCGGGTGTGGAGGAGGTTACAGTGGTCCCAGAGAACCTGCCTCACTGCCACAGAGGCTGCACAAAGCTGGGCCGAGAGGCAGCCAAGTTCACACAGCCTCCATCACACGCCAGAGAAGTGGCCGGGCTGCCACTATGGCCTGAGGTGTAAGCATGCCGAGCCCAGCAGGCCGCCCGCTGTGGCTGGCAGCAGTGACCACCTGGCCATGTGTCCCTACCTCAAACCCAAGGCCCATCACCCACTCTACCCTGAGTGGGGTTTCGGCATGAGGAGATGATGCAGCGCTCTGTGCTTCTCAAAGCCGCCACTGCCGTCCAGCTCTCTGCCCCCAGCCAGGCTCCGCAGCCCTTGCTGAGCACCGGGCAGGATAAGCCTCGACCCCTCTGGCACTGCTCCCTTCCCGGCAGCGCACGAGCACCTCTGAGCTTGGACCCTACTGTTCCCTCCACCCAGAACGCCCTTCCCGGCAGACTCTCCAGACCCCTGGCCTCTTCTAGCCTCTGTGACCATCTCCTGCACTGTCCAGGGATGCGCACCCCAACCCCCATGGTGACGGGTCCTGGAGGGGGAGAGGCCCTGCCACTGCGGGTGGAAAACTTGGGTCCTGTGAGCCTGGGTGCACCGGGGGCTGGGCACAGGAAGGCCAAGACCCCCTGCACCCCAGAGTGTCATTCTTACCCAAGTGCCCGGGTGCCCACAGGGGCTGAGCCCGACCGGCCATACCCCAGGCTCACCGTGGGCAACGCCACTGGCCACTGTCGCATGAGCTCTCCTGCAGCACTGGCTCTGGGACAAGGGACTGGTCGCCTCTAGACAGACCCCCCATGGTGACTGAGAGGCCCCTATGCCCTTCTGGTTCAGCCCGCCACTGCCAGCCACACCCAACAGAACCAAAAGGACCACACCCTGACCCCCAGAACACAGACACATTGCAGGGCACCAGGCAACGCCGCTCTCAGGTTCTGGGGACCACCGCCTTTGGTGGGCAGGGCAGTGCAGCCAAGGGCCCCACAGCACAGCAGCCGAGACACCCCGGAAGCAGGCAGCTGGGACCCTCCACTCCCACCAACAGCTCCCAGGGAGGAGAGCACCGCGGGGACCCAGCCATCAGCCACGAGCAGGGCCGTGGGCGACCGCTGACGGACCACCCTGTCGGCTGCTGCCCACGCCCCCTGGTCCTGGAAATGGCAACATAGAAACATCACATCAGCCCAGAAAGAGGGGACACCGTGCAGCCATGTGAGCAGAGGACGCCCCCACGCACAGGAGTGACCACCTGCAGTTGCCCACAGGGCAGAGGTTTTAAGTCCCACAGGGCGCTGGGCAGGAGAAGACGGAGGACGTGCCATGTGGCTCCTGCCACAAGCCAGCCCTCAGGGATGGACAGTCAGTCAGTGAAGTGACCCCTGGGAAGGGCAGTGACCAGGAGGGGGCTTCGAGGGGACGGGTGTCTGCTGTGCTCTCGTGGGACACTTTCCAGGCCACGCACCTTCCCATGGGTGCGTCACACTTTAGTGTGCCTGCTGGTCACAGACCAGCCACACACAGGATGCCGGGGACCACCCTGCCCCAACCCCGCCTGCCCCTGGAGACCGTGTGCATGTGCCGAGGGCTCACGACTTGGCGCCATGTGCAGGCTGCCCCCAGGAAGCTCCGCAGGCGCCAGAGGGCAAGTCACTCGAAACCAGCACTTTGCCCAGACATGCAGGAGCCCACAGGGCCCAGCCCAGTCCCGCCAGCATCTCTTGTGAGGTCAGCACCCCGAGCCCCACAGGTCCTCCCCCGCTCACCTCCTGCACAGACCTGGGCTTGGGGTGCAGGGACCCCCACGGGATGCACCAAGCAGGTGGTCGGCCTTGGGGTAGGGAGGCCCTGAGTGGGGATCCTGAGGAGAGGCTGCACCAACACCCTGAGGCTGGGACCCACCCCAGGCCACTAGACTCTCAGAATCTCTGAGTTTCAGAGTCCTGGAGTGAGTGGGGGGTGCCATCTTCCACAGGAAGCTTCCAGAGACAGAGGCCCCTGGAAGGTAAGAAGTGTTCCCGTCCCCGGCAGTTCAGGCCCAGAGCTGCACACAGCAGGCGCTCAGCACCGACACAAAGCACTGTGCCTGAGGGGACGGTGGACAGGCCAGCCCAGGCCCCCCAGGGGACAGCACCACAGCCACAGCCTGGGACTGCCGTACAGGCAGGAGTGTCCGCCCACTGGTGGGCCCCGCCCCCAGCCCCCCAAGGGCCCATGATGACACAGCTCAGGCCCCCGGCCACCACCTGGTGGCCCGTGGCATGCTTGGGCTGGCCCACGAGGCTTAAGATGTAGATTTGTAGCCAACAGTTAACAACCAGGAGACCTCACACAGAATACGGCTTTCCAGATTCTCTTGAAAAACCGGCTGCACAGGCAGACGGGGTGGCGCTCCTGCCTGGCAAGGCCACTGAGCGGCAGGACTGCGCTCAGACAGGGCAGCTGTGTCCCTTGGGGCAGCCCCCGCCCCGCAGCGGGGAACAGCCAGGGCCTCTCAGCAAACCCACGGGGCAGGGATTCCCCAGCTCAGCTCTGAGAAGGCCGTGGGCGGCGGAGGGCAGGGGGCGCACCCACAGGCGGGAGTCCAGGGCCTGTCGTCCCCCGACCCGCCGCAGGCACCTGGGCTGGCTCTGGGACTCACACCGGGGCCTGGGGGTCCCTGGAGGCAACAGGGCGGGGGCAGTGCAGGGGGCACATGCAGGGCTGGGGCTCCCAGGGGGTCAGCCCAGGAGAGCGCCTGCCTCTGTTGGGTTGGGGGGGCAGGTGGCAGGCAGGGCCTCTGGGAGTCAGGGGCACCCCCACCAGCCCTCAGTAGCTCGAGCTGGCAGCTCTTGAGCTGATCGACTGCAACTTTACACAACACTGTTTGGAGGTGGCCGGGAGCCAGGCGCGTCCCGAGGGCTCCCGGGTTGCTTTTTAAAGCCCAAGAAGGACCAGGCATGGGGAGGGCCTGTCAGCACAGAAGGCCTAACCTCGGGTCAAAGGTGGGTGGGAGTCCCCAGGCGCCGGACCCCACACGCCAGGAAGACAGAGGGCCGGAGGCAGGGAGGTGGTGCCCATGGCTCACGGCGGTGGGGGGGGCGGGGAGGCTGAGCCGGCCTGGAAGGCAGGAAGGCTTGGGACTGAAACTCCAGAGAGGGAGCCTGAGGGCCCGCGGAGCGGAGGCTGTGCGGCCAGCAGGCAGGGTCGGAGCTGCAGCCCTCCCTGTCCGGCCCCAGCCCCTGGCCCACAGCCGCCCACCCCAGGCTGGGTCAGGGCCAGGACGGCACGGGAGGGACAGGGAAGGGTGGGGGGTCTGTTGCCGCAGGCAGGCCCTGGCTGAGGAGAGGCACTCCAGCAGGGAGCAGCGCCTGTCACCGGGCGTCACGGCCGGAGATCCAGCGTGGGGACCCCTGGGAGACGGAGGGGGCTGTGGACAGAGGGGCAGGAGAGGGGACACCCCTTCCTCTGGCTCCCGCCCGGCTCTAGGTCTCCACCTGCAGCTAAAGCTGAGGGCACGGCGGGGCTCAGCGTTCCAGCAAGACTGGGAGCGAGCGACTCGCCGCGGGACGTGAACAACCTCATGGCCCTCCATGTGGGAGGTGGGCGTGGGTGCAGGGGTGCAGGGGGAGGTCTAGGGGGTGAGGGAGGTGCGCCTTGTGGGAGGGCCTCTAAACCAGCTGTTCTGATCCCCCAAATGACAGCCAGCAGCCCCTGGGCACAGCTGACCCCACCCCCCAGAAAGGGGACCGTCCACTCAAGTGCGAGGGGCCCTGCCCGGTGTGCCTGGGGTGGACAGGGCACTGGGTGTAGACGCCGGGGAGGAGCAGAGAGGGGACCTCCAGCTGGAGCCACCTCCATGGTCCCCACTCGGCCTTGGTCTCCCCTCCAAGGGACTGGGGCAGGGAAGAGGCCAAGAGGCCTGGGGGGTGGGCAGTGCTGGACGAACGCATTCTCCAAGCCTCACAGGGTGGCCTGTGGGCAAAGACAGTGCCTGGCCACCAGCCCACCAGCCATCAAAAGGGCCATTCCCAGCCCCAGGAGTCTGGCCTCCGCCAGGTGACTGGGTCAAGGGCCCCCGAGGGAATGTTTTCAGGCAGCTTCTCCCACAGACCCACCTAGGCGGCTTGTGCTGCCTCAGGCAGGCCTCTGCCAGGCACAATCGACTGACACGCACCCACGGGGTCCAGGCCCCTCTCCTCTGCTCCCCCAGCCCCATGTGCCCTCCTGGGGCAATGGGTGGAGGGACCTGTGCCACAGTGGGGGGCCACCCGCAGGACAGGAGAGCACCTGACCCCGCGGCCAGAAGGGTGGGGCACATGAGAACCAGCTCTCAGGGCACAGGGGCTGGCCTGCCACCACCCACTGGACCTCAGCCGCTGTGAGCAAAACCCCACAGCGCCTAGCCAGGGGCCCCCGGTGCCACCCGCCCATGCAGCCACGCCCACACTCCAGGCTCCACTCATGGAGGGGAAGCTGAGGCTGGGGTGCAGGTCCCTCCCCAGAGGTCAGGGTCAGAGCACAGTGAGACCTGATTCCCAGTGTAGCCAACACGGCAGAGATGGGAGACCCCCTCCCACACACCCTGGCACCAGGGCTGGGAGCTGGCAAGGGCCTCGCTGGCCCCAGGCCCGGCCCCACCCACAGGCGCAGGCCAGGCGGAGAGCTGTGTCAGCAGTAGGGCTCGGGACAGCTGTCATTGCGTCCTCCAGGCGCCGCCCCTGCACTGACCCTCAGGGCTCCCAGGCACCCCAGCCCTACTGCCGCCCAGGGGTCTTCCTCCACCGCAGGCCCTGGCTGGCCCCCACCAATCTAGTGGGTCTGGACTGACCCACAGGTGGCTGCCTCCCCAGGGAGCCTCCCTGCCCATCTCAGCCCGACACCTGCTGCTGGAGGAGGCAGCCTGGAACCACCTGAAGAGGCCCTGCCCCCCCAACCCCGAGGAGCCCACAGAGGGGCCCAGAAGCTGCCCCTCACTCTGCAGCCACCACGCTGCTTCCACACCAACCAGCAGCAGTGGGGGCGGGGGTGCCACCCTTGCCCTGCCCTTGGCCTTGCTGTCGCCGAGCCTGGCAAGGGCCTCCCGCCAGGGCAGAGTGCTGTCTCAGCAGACACTGGATCCCGGAGGGGAGGGGGCCGCGCAGGCTTGCTCTGTTCCTGCCACCCAGCCTTCCCCCAAGGTCACTGTGCGCCCTCAGAGAGCAGGGCCAGCAGCTCCAGGCCTCAGGGGGCAGACGGCCCCTCACCAGGCCCGACCCGCCCTCAGAGCCCCGACGCCCAGCCTTAACACGTGCCAGACACAAAAGCCACTCTTGGGGTGCAGGGACTGGGCCACGCAGGTCCTGGCCCCACGAGGCTCTGGCAGCGCCTGGACTGGCTCTGGGGCAACCCCACCTGCTCATGCGCTGAGTGGGCAGAGAGCGAAGCTGCCGTGCCCCCGGCTCTGCCCCCGCCCCGCCCCGCCCCGTCCCCGGGGCTGACCTTGCGGATGTGGCCGCTGCGTGTGCCTACGAACACCACAGTGCGGCCCCGGTAGTCGTAGGCGGCCACAGCGGTCAGGCCGTCGTCCTTGTCCACGAACAGCGGCGTCCCCTCGATGGTGACCGTGCCGCCCAGCGGCTGGTTGAAGTCCTGCCCGCAGAAGTCGTCGTCGATCTGCAGGGGCTGTGGGCGCGGGAGGGTGAGGCCCCGTCTCCCCAAGGTGGGCCCGGCAGCCAGCCCCAGCATGCCTGCTGATGGGTGTGAAGGGCCCCAGGGCGTCCTCACGGGTCTGCAGACGCGCACGGGGGCCATGGCCTGGGGGCAGCCGGTACAGACCTGCAGGTTCATGGGTTCCTGGACCCATTTAGCAGGCAGGGAAACAGGCCTGGAAGCTGCCCGAGGCCCAAGTGCAGGTGCCGGGGCATGGCCCAGCCCTCATACCCACCCTCCAGGGGGCAGCAAGCCAGAGGGGCAGCCTGGGTAAGGCAGGGAGGGGTTGGCCGGCTGCACAGCGACAGCCACACGGGTGGGTGGCCAGGGGCTCTGGAGCACGGGACATTTATCAAGACAGAGACAGGGTCACACCTAGACAGCGAGGGGAGGGCCTGCGGAGAGAAGCCTGCGGGCACAGGAAGCAATCGATAGCGGAGGTTCCGGAGAAGGGCCTGGGGGGCAGGGCGCCGGTTCTGGGCGGTTCCCCTGCAGCAGCCTGGGTCTGAGCTTTGCAGGGGCAGAGGCTGCAGAAGCAGCAGGGGAGGCAGAGTCTGGGCTGGACCCAGGGTGCTGGCCGGGCAGCCGAGAGGAAGAAGGAACAGCGGGGACAACGCCAAGGAGGGGGCGAGCCGGCCGCGGGCACCGGGCGTGCAGAGCGCGCAGTGACCTCAGCAACGCTGCCCCAGCCTCAGTTTCTCCACCTGCTCAGTGGAGACCTTTCTCCATAGGCCAAGGCGGAGATGGACGAGGCGCCGGACTTGCGCGCCCAAGGGCTTGGTCCAGGGGTGGCCACGCTTAGTGGCAGACGTGAGAAAGAAGGGCCGCCCCATGCTGCTCGGGAGACAAGCCGGCGTCCCTCCCAGGACAGAGGAAAACTGAAGCCAGCGCAGGGCTGGGCGTTCTGGGGCCACCGGCGCACCCCACCAGCAGGAGCAAGGGAACCAGGCCTGGCTCTGGAGGTCCTGGACCCCTGACCCCGAGCCAGCCTGTGACCCACTCCGAGCCTGGGGTCTTCCCTGGAGAACCAGGGGTCCTAATTCCTGGGGACGCCTGCGAGAGGTTCCCCCGAAAGCCTCTGGCCCCCGCGGCCCCACAAGGGCCGGGAAGCAGAACTGCCGGCAGTGCAGGCCCAGCCCCGTGCTCTCGGGCTG